GTGTGCCTTCTCATTCAGGGACTAACTCTGAATCAGCATTTTCCATACTTGTGCATCACCTGTTCTTTATGGTTCATTATCTTTAAATAGGATAGGAGACTCCTTCAGACAGAAGATGCATCCAAACGGCTTGCTGTCTTCTGCCAGCAAGAAGCAAGAAGCTGGCAGAAGGACAGTTCTGGGTGAAACAGGACACTTACAACAGTGCTGCAGTGCTTCCCTGGAATCTATATGTCTCAAGAAAAACGGGGGACCATACTTCTGGGTAGATAAACCTAATTAGGCTGTTGGGCTTTATAGGCAGCATGTGTATTTCCAAAAATTTTCTCTTTCTTCCTCAGATATTGGATCACATTCCTTGCTTTGCTCCTGCCCCGGAGGGGGTGGCTGGGGAGGTGAAGACCAGAAGGGGACCCCTTGATCGCCAATGCAGAATTGCCATTCTTGGTTTCTTTTCTTTTGTGTTTTTTTAAAGTATTTATCTCTTTGGGGGCTGAGAAAGGAAGGGAAAAGAAACAACCCACCCAGCAGGAAGGCTTGTGAAAGTGAGGGATGGTTGTGCTGGAAGAAGGCCGGCATGTCCCAGCAGGGGTCAGCTGCCAGCATCCTTTGAAGTGGGCTGGGGGTGGGTCACAGCTGGATGGAAGGAGCTTCTCATCCTGTTATCAGGCTACAGCGTCAAAGGTCTTCCTGGTGCAATGATATCAAGTTGCACTTAAGCTGTGTGCATTTGGAATGTTGGGAAGGCAGAAACAGCCTGAGAGGTTGCTTTTCCTCCCCTGTCCCAAAAGGAGCCCGAATCCTTCGGCTAGCAGCTTCCTTTGACCTTTTTCATAGCAAACTTCATCAGAGGATCTTGTTTATGTATGTATTTGACTTCTACCCTGCCTTTCTAGCAAACATGGCAGTCAAGGCAGCTTACAATCCCTGACAAAACTAGATAAAAATAATTATGAAGCAGTGTAACAACATAACAATAAAAGAGTAAAATGGCTTCCCAGCTCAGCAAACCAGCTTATTCAAGGCTCACTCAAATAAAGCAGTCTTCGCATGCTGTCAGGAGGGCAACATAAAGGGAACAAAGCTAGTCTCCTTCAGCAGGGAGTTTTGCAGCCAAGAATCAGACAATTAGAAGTTTTCTACCGAATGGACCTCTGACGGTGGCAGTCTCCAAAGAGCTTTTCCAGACGCTTTTAAGAAACAGTGTTCTGGTTCCAATCTATGCAGGACTTTATGGATCATAATCCTTCTGATAGCCAGCACAACACTTGTAACAAGGGAGTTTCATGTCAGCCAGCCCCAGTCCTGCCCATAGCATTCGGGGCCACCTGAATACGAGCGTGTATGTGTGGGAGAACTGAACACACGCGACAGCCACACACTCTTCACAAAGAACTGGAAGCAACGCAGGTATGTGTGGATGGCTTTCTTCCCAGCATCTCCTTTTGTATGGGTCACACGAGCGCTGCTGGATCAGAGCAAAGGCCTATCTAGTCCAGCTTTCCGATCCCACAGTCGACCAGATGCCTCTGCTGGGAAGCCTCAAGCAGGACACGAGAGCAAAGCCACCTTTGCCACTGCAGAAAGTCCTGGCGTTCCAGCCCTGCAAGCCCTGGCTTGGCCACAGCCCTGAATGTTGCCATTTGGCACTAAGCATGGCATGAAGAATTGCCTTTCCGTTCGCACGTGTGTGCCGCACACTTACAGTGTAGCATCAATAGAACGTCTTGCATTTTCTTTGCTTCCAGGATCGCATACCTGAACAGCCCCACCTTAGCTTGTGAGATCACCACAGCAACTGTGGACTGTGAAGGTAACAAGGTAGGCACTGCCTGTTTTGAAAAACACAAATTTTGCCCTCCTTCATCATACGATGCTTTCTAGACGCTATAACCTGAGTCGCACATGTAACCTACAATGGACAAAGGGACTTACCTGTAGCACTCCTACCATGCGCTTGCCATGATTACCTTATCTGCCATGGCATCATCCCACCCATGCAATGTTGTCCTGGCAAGAAATCTCGACTGGAGACGAATTTGCCTGTTTTCACATCTTAGCTAAATTGTACAGAGAGTCTTGCTTGCTTCGTCAAGCTCTGTTTTCCCTCCTGCTATCATTTATCTAGCAAAAGCTGGATTGCATTATCACAGACTCTCCGCCTCCCCTCATAGGTTGGAGAGCCTCAGGAAGGGATTTACTCAGACCCCCCCACACACACACACACACAGACCATCACAGCGACCAGCTGCCCTGATTCCAGCCAAGATGACCCTTTGTGTTGATTGATAATCTGATTAGGAAGTGCTCCCCACACACACCCAACAAGCCCGCTGTTTAAAAGCTAACTAAAAACACTTTCCTATTGGAAAAATGTCATCCATCTCGTTGCCACCAAACTGCCTCCCCTGCTCCTTGTTTTGTTGGGGCAGCAGATTGCAAAAAATGGCCCACGGCGCTCCCAGCCCCACTGTGCATGGCGCCGCCACTTGTAAGGGGAGATCAAAGGGAAGACGGGCATCCGGGGACAGCTGGGGCGGATACACCTCTTTGGGCATTTTCATGAACATACCCATAACGAAGGGGATTGGAGAGCTCACGGGGAGCAGCAGCAGCAAAGAAGGCAGCTTAAGTCTGTCTTCCAGTGAAGAGTGGCTGAGGGCACATGCTAAACCTGAGCAAACCCCTGTAAAAGAACTGGAAGGGCTCAAAAGGTACACAATTTGTATCTTAGACTGTGCATTTTTGGGCTGGTACCACCTGTGCAAGAAGGAGGGATCAGCCAGCTCAGGGCAAGCCCAAGGTTTGCAGAGATACTCAATTTTTAGCAGAGGGAGAAACCTCAGAACAATCCAGTGAGGACAGAATGCACCCAGTGGCCACAGAATATTATCTAGGGGAAAGAATAGAAACCCGGTAGGCAGGTGAATGGAAAAGAGTTTCTGGAACAAAATCATCCAACATTGCAATATTTTGTGACAGATGATACTTGTAAACATTATGCTGGTTTTATACTATGGGTTCAATCATTAGGCACCATCCTCAGGAATCCTGGGCATTGTCATTTGGGAAAGAGTACTGCAAATTCTCTGGCATGGATCCTTTCATAGAACCACACTACCCAACAGTCCCTGGAGAAAGAGGTGGCCCACCAGTGCCTGCCATTCTCTAAGCACAGCGAGCAACTACTTCTCACATGCATCTGAGTGTAAATTGCAACTTATTTATGACAAGTAGTTGCAAAATTATATGGCTAAACTGCTGTTGGTCATTAACAAAGGCAAAATAGCTAATAATAACAACTTTCATCCTTGAATGGAGGGATCCAATTAAAATAATTGTTTATCATCACAGAACTCAGTATGCATACTAATAGAAATACCAAATCATCACTAGCAAAGGTGTAGGTAGCCTTCCTTCCTTCCATAATAAGAGCTGCTAAGAGCTTGATGGTGCTTGGAGTATTTGGAAGGGAACTGGCTGCACTGAATGTAATCTAGCAAGAAGCACATCCGGCATCACTCCCATCCAGTTCTGTGGTGATGAGTTTGCTAGGCACTGGATCAGCACATGTGCAGTGTCTCAAAAAGAACTGGCTGCACAGAACAGCACCCAGCACAGCTGTCTCCAACCTGGCGCCCTCCACTTGCTTTGGATTACAACTCACACTATCCCCAGCTAGGATGTTCCTTGCTGGCCGGGGATGATAGGAGTTATAGCCCAAAAAACCACCTGGAGTGTTCCAATTAGGCAAGGCTGATCTAAGAATTCATCCTGGCCCTAAGAAGAAAACTGCTGCAGAGTTGTGGCAAAACCTGCAAGGAGCCCCCAGTACGCACCTGCAAAAAATGGAAGTATCTCTTACGTTTTTTAAATATATGTACCAGGTTTTGCATGAGATGCACCAACTCCTAGCAATTATTTGTAGGCTTCTAGATCAAATAATCAAGTATGTATCCATTTGAAGTTGAGTCCCTTTCCTGCAGCCTGAGGGCGTCAAGGGCTGGTCAGAGGGCGCTGTTCCTGCCTGCACCCGCCAAGGGGCCCGCAGCCCGTGCAAGACGCTCCTCAGCTCTTCTGGGTTCAGCCTGGCCCTCCTTCTGGCTTCGCTGCTGCTGGCATAGGTCGGTATGCAGGGCCTCTATGCAGAGCCGCGGGGCGGGCGTCGGGCGGCGTCGGGAGCAGGCGGCGCATCAGAGCCCGGGCAGCGGCGGCAGGAGAGCCCGGGCAGCGTGGCTCGCCGGCTCCGCCCCCTCGAGGCACTTTCCCATTTATTCCATCCTCTTGGGCGCCCGGCGGCAGAACCGCTCCGGAAAGCGGCGGGGAAAGAAGGCGGCGCGGAGCAGGCGGCGCATCAGATTTTATGTTTTAATTTCTGATTTAATACTGGGCGGCGGGAGGTGCCGTGTTTGGAGAAGCAGACAAGCTCACAGAAGTGCTCAGCTGGCGAAGCGGGGCGAGAAGGTGCCACTTTGGGGGAGACGGAGGGTAGTTCTTGCTTTCTTGACGGGGGGGAGGGGCAGGCAGCCCGTCCGATCGGCTGTTTGGCTGGGCTTCTTGAAGTGGAGGCGGGACGGGGACGGGAAACGGGTGCCGGGAAGTTTAGCCTGCAGAGACCCTTGGGATGCGGTCTGGGGCGTGCGGGGAGAGGGCTTTGCTGCGGGGTGGAGACCGCCTTCTGGCTGAGCGATCGGGTAGACTGCGCCGGAGCAGAATGAGACTCTCGAAGTAGCAAAGTGGGCCAGGGCGGTACCTTTACAAAAGTGCTACTCAGTATTAAAAACGAGAACTACTTCTCTTTAAGTTGAAAGACTGGAGGTAGCGGACCTGCGGGGGAGGGGGGGGGGCTTCCACGGTATGATTTTAACCCGGCCTGCTCACTTTTCTGCTGGATTTCTGCTTGCAGGGAGTGCTTTAAAATACCTCTCAGGAGCTGTGGATTCTGATGCACCCTTGTCTGTCTTCAGCCAGGACCCTTTGCCATTGGAGGCGTGTTGGAAATGACCCCCCGGGACCCCCCCAGTGCCATTCTGGGCTGCTGGGGGCTCCTCTTCCTGTTTCTGGCTCCCCTTCCATGTCACCTGTGCCCCATCCCCTGTGAGTGCTCAGAGCCCGCCCGCACCGTCAAGTGTGTCCAGAAGGAGCTGACGGCCATCCCAGCTGGCATTCCGGGGTACACCCGCACCCTCTACCTAACTGGGAACAAGATCACCTGTGTTGGCAGCCGGGACCTCCGGGGACTGCCCAACCTGGTCACTCTTTCCCTGGCCCACAACAGGTAAAGTGTGCCGGAAAGGGGGGCGGGCAGTGCTTACACTACAAAGGAACTGGGTGAGGGGTGGGATCTGGCCCTCTTAGCTCATGTTTTCGAAGGCTTATGTGCTGGGAACATGAAACTAAGAGAATGTGGGAATCAGGTTGATAGAACTTTTCCCCTCACTGGAGAACTGCAAGGGATGAGGAAGAGGCAGGAGGGTGACTTATGGCCCGCCAGAGTTTGGCCTGTAACTCCCATGATTCCTCAGCACTGGCTATGCTGGGTAGACCTGATGGGAATTGTAGGCCAAAGCATCTAGCGGACCACTCATTCTCCACCCTTGATTTTAAATGTGTATTTCTGTCTTAAAGGCTTAACACAAAGGTGGGCATTGTAAATGAATGCCATTGTATTTAAAACCCCATGCCTTTTTCCAGACTAAAAGCCTGAAAAAATTTGGTGATGGAACAACTTCCAAATTTAATGCTGGAGAAAAAGCTTCCAAATTGCACCTACATTTAGGTTTTCTACAGTGTTTAAATTTAAAGTGTGGCAGTTGTACTGAGTAATAAAATGGTTACAATAAAACTTTAAAATGTGCTAATCCACATAAATAAATATTTATAATTTCCACCACCAAATCCACTCCTTATCCTTTCCTAATACTTTGGTTTGAGAGCAATAATATAGCAAGGATATCTGCTTGAACAAAACACTGCGCATATTCCAAACTGGAGGACCTCATGCAACAGCTTTCAGACATGCGTCTCTATACTGCAGCTGAGGGTGCTGTAATCTTGCAATGCTCCCCTGTATTTTTTTATCCTCCCTGCAAGTACAGAGGTGGCATATCAAGTAATGCATCCTGCTGCCATGCTAGTTTTCTACTTGCAGCATTTGTGTAAATGAGAGATCATGGAAAAGAATCCAATAAGTGTCACTTGGATCTAAAGGCTGAGATACTCCACTCAGCTACCTTTGGTTTCCTGCGCACAGCAGGGCTTCAGGCAGTGTGCTTGGCTTGGGGGCCAATGCCTGGGCACCGAACACGTTTGGAGCATCTGTCATTTCACCTCCACTGGCCCTGACGAGCTGTCCAGGCACTGGGCTTCTCTCCCAACTGCCAGAGTTGTCCTGGGACTTGTGGTCTCTAGGTTTGGCCATCTGTTTTCAGAGTTCCACATTTCCAAGTTGTTCTTTGAAGCCATAGGATCTAGAAATTTATCCTAACGTGTGCTCTCACTCCAAATACATAACTGCTGAAAATTCACTGCCCCAGGGATCTGCTCAGTTCCCTGCTTGCGGATGATGCCAGACCTTTCTGCATTGCGCTGGCTGTCCACCGAGGTCGCCCCCCCCCCACTGGTCTGTGCTGCGTGTGTGTGGCGTCCCACCTTTGGTCTGGATGTGCAGGCATTACCATAGTAACCAGCTTGCTGGCACTAGCAGTCGCAGCCCCGCACTGCTGCTCTGCTGCTCGCTTTAATTTCCAAAAGATAACGGGGTGGCGGACGGCCATCCAGCACTGGATCCAAGGTGGGGCCTCTGATGGTCTCCCAGCTGTCTGGTGGGCTACCAGAGGTGACAGAAGGGCTCGCAAAAGCTCAGGTGTGCAGGGCTTGCTTCACCTGGCAAACGGAAGCCATGGAGCCGAGCCTTTCTGTGGGATGCCTGACTCTTTGGTAGGTCTGAAAACTGTGAGCTGCTGCTGCTGCTGCTGCAGTGGAAAAGAGAGCAGCTGATGGAAACTGAACTCGCAGATCAGACACTTTTTATTCAGTTAAACTGCAATAATTTTACCTTTAAAGAACAACCACCAAAGCTTCTTTTTGGGCGTGTGTATAGAGACGATAAAATGAGGGTAGGTAACCTGGTGCCACCTACCTGTTCGGGACTGGAACAAACCATGCCCATTGGTCCTGCTGGGTGGCACCAATGGGAACTGTACTCCAGAGCCCCTGGGAATTCCGGGCTCTCTACCACTACAATACAAATAGGCTTTAAAAAAAATCCTGAACTGAGCATTTTAAAAAGCAGGCTTGTTGCCAGACCCTGAAAAAGTTTGGAACCCAGGCCCTAGGACCACAAGTCTCCCTAAAACTCTCACATGCTGTTTTATATCGATACATGAAAATGTAGAAATAATAATAAAGGTTTATTTAAGTTTTATAGGTGGCAAAGCCAGCTAAATAATTTCTTACCAAAATGAAATAAAAAATAAAATCAATCTCTCAGTTACAATCATCCCAAACCAATGGAATAAGTTTTTTCTAAGCATAAGTGCCAGGCAGGGTAAGATAGTTGTGGGAGAGGTGTTAACTCTTCCCTCCCCAGCTGATTCCTCTAAAAAATGGCCTCCTTTGTGGCAGCTGAGCTAACAAAAAGATACCCTTTCACTGGCAATCCACCACACTCAAGGCTCTGGGGAATAGATCCAGGACACTCCGAAATATATTTGGTGCTGGAGCTGCACAGGTCTAGGCTTAGCATTGCCCCCATCCGTCCACTGGGCCACTAAAACTAGCATCCAAATAAAAGGAATCTGCACCTTGCTATTGAAAGAACCTCACGGTATAGCTCACCTTTTAATGGCTTCTTAGGTGTGTGTCAAGATGTGTGTGTGTCATGATTAAGATCGTGTCCCTTTCTTCTCTTCAGGATTCACACGGTGGAGTCACAGGCCTTTTCTGCTCTCCCAAGGCTCCGTTCCTTGGACTTGAGCTATAATCACCTGGCCACCCTCCATCTCGATGCATTCAGTGCTAGAAACAACTCCATCCAGGAGCTAAACCTTAGCTACTCACTGTATAACTCCTCTGCCATTCAAGCTGTGGCAGCTGCCCTAGTCCAAGGTGGCTTCCAGAATCTCTACTGGCTGGAACTTGCCAGCAATAAGATTGTCTACTTGCCCAAGGGCATGTTTGCCGGTCTCTCCAAATTGGATCACTTGGACTTGAGGAATAACTCCTTGGTGGACATCAAGAACTCCACCTTTGCTGGCCTGGACCTGAGACACCTTGATCTGACCATGAATGCCTTCAAGACCTTGAAGAGGGGGGCATTGTCTGCCCTTGAGCAACAGCCTCATCTCTTCCTCTTCCTGAAGAACAACCCTTTCATTTGCAATTGTGACATCGAAGACCTGGTGAGCTGGCTGAACCGAAGCCAGCAGGTAGCAGACATGGAACACCTGGCCTGCGCCTTCCCTCAGGAGCTGAAGAACACCTCCCTGGTGGAACTGGTGGGAGCAGATCTGGAATGCCGAGTGGCCCAGCCTGGAGAAAATGCGCTGCAGACATCCTATGTTGTCTTGGGTATAGTCCTGGGCATCATTGGAGTCGTCTTCCTCTTTGTGCTTTGCTTAAACCGTAAGGGCATCAAGGCACGCATGAACAATGTGAGGGATACCTGTCAGAACCTGATGGCGGAGTACCGCTATGAAATTGACTCTGATCACCACATCACACACGTCCCAGGCCTGGACATATGATGCAGTTAATCAAGATCTGGTTTTTGCGACTGCACCTGTCAGAGACTCAGCAGCAGCATTTTTATCCCCGTGGGAAGAATTCTGCCTCTTGGGAGCAGCTACTTTTCCATCAAAACCCAAGCCTTTTAAAGAGAATGGACCTGTGGCTTGAAGGATGAGCATGGCCTTCAGGGGTCTCCTTTCTTATTCATTCTCAGTGTTCTGCAGGAGCAGGAAACTGGCTAGGAAAATATATATCACAAACATCTTGGTACCAGCTCTGCCAACAGTCATAACAGGATGCGCCATCTTCCACAAGGAGAAGGGGTCCTAACGCACATTTTTCTGCAATGGTGACCATTTCAGAGCAGTGCTGCAGTGCAGGGGCAGGCAGAAACTAGATTTCCAGATAGTTTTGGATTTCAGCTCCCAGCATTTCCGACCACTGACATGTTGGCTAAGGCTTCTGGGAGCTGAAGTTCAGAACAACCGGAGGGCCACCTTCTGCCGGCATCTGGTATGACAGGAGTTATAACCCTTTTGCTGTTAACTTTCCCCCCACCCAGGATTTTCCTGGTGCCTCTGAGCTTTGCAGACCAGGGGTCTTGGGGAAGCTAAAATTTTTCTCAGCCAGAATATGTCGCTCCTTGTTGTCATGCAAAGTAATTTGAGGCTGGCTTGCTCCGGAATGGCCCATCAAGACCCAGTAGCTTTACAAAGGGGCTGCTCTGGGTGGAAATGAAAACTCCTAGATCATTGCTGTGGCCTGGATTTTGGAACTCTTGCTCAGGGGAAGGTTGTAGCTCAGGGCATCCTGCTGCATCATCTAACTTCTGTGTCTTTGGGTTCAGCATATTTCTGCTGATCGGATCAGGTGCCTCTGTTCTGAGATGTATGCAATTGTATTTAGGTCAGTGTTGCCAGTGTGGTACAGTGGGACTGGGACTCAGGAGATCCAAGTTTGAGTCCCCACTCAGTCATGACGCTCACTGTGTGACTTGAGCCAGTCATAAACTCTCAGCCCAACCTACCTTGCAGGGTTGTTGTTGTGAGGATAAAATTGAGAGGAGGAAGAGAATGATGTAAGCTTCCTTGAGTTGCTTGAAAGGAAAACAGGTGGAATATAATATAGAGAATGAACAAATCAAATGAAGTTGTGCTTGAGAAAATGTGATTTATTTTTTTTAGAGGGAGAAGAAAATCTTGTATTCTTTCTCCCATTCTGAAATGCTTCTTTGTGTATAACAAAGTTAGTTAAGATGAACCTACAGCTTTTTCAGGGGAAAAGCCTTTATGTCAATCAAGCAAAATTTGGTAAAACATTTTAGTGTATGTAGATACCGATTACTACCATTTCCTTGTTTTCCTGCAAAAAGCAAGGGAAAATAAACAACCCTTCTGCCTGATTCTGATCTTTCTCTATAATATGAATGACCAAAATCTTAAACCTGCTTGACTGCTGCCGCTCTGGTGAGAAATTTCTGGAGAAGATGCATGCACCTGTTAGATGGCAGCATCCCGTTATTTTCCCCGAGGTGCCACGGGTCCCTGCATGCCCTCCCTGGTGCACCATGGAAAATGAGGTGTCCCGTGCTTGCTGCAAGAAGCTTTCTTAGATCTTAGTCAGAGCAAACTCCATGTTCATTGTAGCCGCGTGTTGTCTGCTCGGACTGGCAACAGCTTTTCCGGTATTGTCACAGAACATTTTTTATCCACCGGTGGATTGAACGTGGACGCCTCGCACTGGCACATGGTGTCCTTGCTAATGAGATCGTGTCAGGGGAATAGGCACCATGGGGCTGAACCCAAGCGCAACGCTAAAGCCCATGTTTCGCATGCAGCAGCTCCTCACAGCTCCAGAAAGACACCTGTCTGAATGTCTGGCGTACCCCTGCCACTGGGCAGTGTAAATCACTCTTTTTCAGCATGGTGGACTACATGCCCCATCATCTGCCTTAAATTTTCCTCCAGGTGAGATTCTTCATGCACATGTGTGTGCGTGTGCGCACACATCACAGTCAGACATAATCTCTGAGCTTCTGTTTTCAGTCATTTCTGCATTGATCCAGGTTTTCATGCAGCACTGAGAAATTAGTTTCTTGGGCTACTGCTCTCTGGAATCCTGATATTGTCTGAGTTGTAGAAGACATGGAGCCAGGAAAGGTGGGGGGGGGTCCTATCTTAAGTGCTGGCATGAATTCTTGTAGGAGGGCCTTCCAGTTGTTTGGACTTGTAGCTCCCTGGATCCCTCCTCTCTGGCTATGCTGGCTAGGGTGGGTGGGAATTGCAAGCCACAACAAGTGGCTCGCCATTGCAGAATTACTGGGAAAAGTTGGGCATGTAGGAATACTCACAGAAATAGTTTGAGAACCAACTGTTCTGTCCTTAGCACTATTCCACTTATAGCTTTGAGAACATTTTGGGAGCCTTTCTGGGGCACCACTGATGCTCTTACAGAGGTGATGGTTTATTTTGGTCCCATAGCTAGGCAATATTAATAGACATGACAGAATTTTAGCACCTTGCCAACTCAAGGGACAAAAGCAGTCTGAATTTTTGGGTAGGTGAGGACTTAAGCTTTTGAAGTCAGCTGGAATTTGCCTTTTTTTTTTTAAACTGGGGAAGTTTGTGTCGAGTTCAGCTGCAACTTGTAGCAGCAATTTGCACAAACTGTAGCTTAACTTTACATAACTTTCCCTGGCTCTCTAAAAAAAAAAATGCAAATCTCAGTTTGCTTTACAAGCAGAAGCGTGAATTCTGGCTTAGTTCAATTCAGGATGAGTTGTAGCCAAGAGATGGATGGGTCAGAATCTGGTGGACCCAGGCCAGGCCCATCAGCTGAATTTTGAATCCCTTACTAGATTCCTCACCCATCCCCACTGAAAGCCGCTGGCTTTGTAACAATCTCTCAGTGCTGCCCTCTTGTGGCCAGAGAACAGCGAGACGATTAGACATGGGCTGCTTGCTTTTATGTGCCATTGCCTTGCCTTATTCACAAAATTTTATTTGGGGGTGCCTGGGCCGCCTGGCAGAAATCATCTTCCATTTGTAAACCTCTTGTGCTTTCTCTCCACTGCTTCTGCCTTGTTTTCTTTGCACGGAAACATCCATCAAGGAGGACTAGTCAGAATAACTCTGCAATGCCTTCGGATGGGCAGCAGGAGCAACGGGAAGCAGCCAGGGGGAAGGACGGAGCAGTCCGGCAAGGCCTTCTAAGAGGAAGGGGCCTGCTTTGTACGGAGGCGGCTCCCCGGCCGCTCGGGCTGCAAAGCCTCCTGCCAGAAGCCCCGGAGAGCCTGCCGCAGCTCCTAATAAACGCCGTTCAGGGAAGCACCCTCAGTTCATAATGGGCAGCACCCCGGGAGCTGTGTGTGAAACAGACCGGAATGTGTTTGCTTAATTTTCATGTCAACGTTTTGGTTGAACATTTGGAGACAGTAATCGCAGGCTGAATAATGGAAGAGATGATGAAGAAGAGGGAGAAGGAGCTCCAAGCGCCTGAGCTGGATGGGGCGTTTGAGGATGGCCGAGCTAAGCTGGGAGCCTCTATCGCCCTGACCTCCTGGGCCTCTGCAGACTCTTCCTCCTGGCCAGCGCTGGCAGATGCAGGGGCTGGGAAGGTAGGTCTGCTTGCCACAGCAGCAGTGCTACTGATCCTAATGGAGGCCCCTGAAGCTGCAGCTTGCAGATGGGGGGGGGGGGGGAACCCCACCCTTTAGTGGAAACCCCCCCCCCCCCCCCCGCAAGCTTCAGGCATAAGAAGCCCAGCCCAGGGCGGGGTTAAAGCCCCCATCGCTGACGCTCCACATCAGGGTCCTGCTGTGGATTGGGCCCCCCACCTCCTTCTATTTGCACCCTGGCAAATGCAAACTGTAGCGAAAGGCCTTTGTGTGATGGCTCACATTCAGAGCTGGGTGACCACTCAGCTGGCAGCACTCCTGGCTTTGCCTCCCCTCCAAGACTGTGAAGCAGAACCTGAGACATACACGCTTCCGGCTGAGAGAAGCGGTGGGGGAGATAAAGTTGAGATTAAAAAAAAAAAAAATCCTTCATCTTCCTAAAATTTAGACTTCCCCCAGAGGCTTGAAAGAAAACTTTTCTGGGGGGCGGGGCGGGGCGGGGCGGGAGCGCCTGGAAATCCCACAGCCTTGTGGTTTCAGGGCAGCGTCTCCAGGGCTTGGCTGTCGACCTAACCCCTGAGCGTGCAATCCTAGGCATTTTCAGATCGAGAAAGCGCTCCAAGTCCCGCAGCTGCGTCTTGCAAGCCTTGTCGGGCTCGCCCAGACGTGCGGGCGGAATCCCGGCGCTCCCAGCGAGCAACAGGCGCCCTTTCAAGCCGCCGCCAGAGCCGGAGCCAGAGCCGGGCGCGCGCTCCAATCCGGCCCAGCCGGCAGCCCCGGTTCCAGGCCCGGGTTTCCCAGCAGCTGCGCGGGGAGGCGCTTCCTTCTCTCTGCGGTTGACTCAGCCTTAGGTCCCAGCCGAGGCTGCCGCGAGTGCACGTTGAGAAAGCACCGAACAGGCGCGGGAGGAGGAGGAGGAGGAGGAGGAGGAGGGGCGCGGCGAGGCGCTGCCGAGCGAACTTCTGCTTCCCCAGAGAGCGCGCGCCCTGCGGCCGGGCTCGCCGAGACGGGGAGCCCCACCTGGCCAGGTAACCCGCCGCCGCGGCGCGCTCTCCTTCGCCGCCCGCGCGCGAGGGTCGGGGGCCTCCCGCCCCCCCTCGCCCCCCCCTCCGGCCCGGCCGTTCCGCCGCCGCATATGGGAGAGCGGGCCGGGCGCGGGGCGAGCGGGGGGCGGCGCGCCTCGGGAAGGGGGCGCGGGGCGGGCGAGGCTGCGGCATCTGCGGCCCCCGCGCCGCCCCGGAGGCCACTGTGTTCTTGTTCGGCTCAGCCTGCCTTCCAGGGTTGTTGTGAGGATGAAATGGAGAGGAGGTCCCCCTGAGCGTCTTCGCAGGCGTGAAGGGTAAACGTAGCATAATAGGATACTCTTGCTTGCTTGCTTGCTTGCTTGCATATGCCGTCAAGGAACTCCCTGTGAGCGAGGGTTAGCCGGGAGTCGGTGGCGAGCCCAGAACGATTCAGGGAGCTTCTTGGTTAAGTGGAGGCCAGCCCTCGGATCCCCTGAGCACTCTCACCATTGCACTACACTGCCTTTTTTTTTTTTTTTTTTGGCAAGGAAACTGTTTGGTCGTTCATTCCCCCTCCTTTTTAGAAACCCTTTAGGAGACTCAGTTTCATCCACAAGTCCTAAAATGTAAGGTCCCAAGCTCCTAGTAATATTGCTGCTCGAGTTATTTTACTCAAAAGTAAGTTCCACTACTAAGTTTATTTTCAAGTCGCTGTGCACGGGATTATTTGTTTGCCTATATTTATGTTCTGCCTTCTTCCTCTGCCAAGGAACCCCAGGCGGGCTTTATCATCCTCTCCCTCCCCTCTGTTTGCTGTCTGGACAAACCCTGGGGAGAGAAAGGAGGACTCCTCGTGATCATGGCAGGCTCTTGAGCAACCTTGCACTGAACGCCCCGGCCTGCCTATTTAGATGGAAGGAGTCCTGCCATTCCCAGGATTCCCCCACAATCATGGCTGGCTGGGGCATGTTGGGAGCTCCGGACCATTGTTGTTGTGGTGGTTGTTTTGTGACTGTGTATAGGGTTGCACTCTGGGATAATTTCATACTTTCAACCATATAGGCTTACACACAGCCCTCCAATGTAATGTGAGTGACTTCCACAGGTGGAAGACCAGTCTTGTTGCATTTGGGGACCCTCCTGCTGAACGGGGCCTGCTCCCCTGCCCCAAAGACCCTGCCTGGCTGCACCACTGGCTTCGCAGGCTGATTGGGTGGGGCAGCCCTTTCCCAGCCTGACTGTTTCCCCCAAGGCAGCAAAAACCGATCCTAAGTTTGAACAGCCAGACTCTTCAAAATGGAGGAGGGCCACCAAATTGCATCTCTTGCCGGCGCCACAATAACCCTGATGGAAGCAGCAAAGAGGGTGTGTCCACGGCCTGTTCCTTTTCTCTCAGGACTCCTGAGCTTGTCCCCGCTGCTGTGCTGCAGGCAGAAATCAAACTGGGGGAATGCCACACCTCTGAGCCTTTCGTGCCTGGCCCTGTGGAAAGGCTGCCTGCCTGCCTGCCTGCCTGCCACAGAGATGGTTCAAAGCCCAGGAACTGTGTTGGGGTTCAAGCCAGCAAACTGGGTCCAGGTACCCTCTCAGGCAGCCAAATGTAAAGCACTTTGCTGCTGTAAAAACAAGCAAGCAAACAGTGAGTTTGCTGGGTGTCGCTTATGGGGTGACTAAAGGTTAAAATTCACACGGCTTTCTCCTGCTCTACTGCTCAGCACATGCAGTTTCTTTCTGGGTTCTTTCTGTTTATGGTGGGTGTACTTCACTTGAGTTTTGTAAACAGAAACCCCCCTGATAAAAACAATGTTATAATTAAAATGTCATTTTATCCAAACAAAAACAAAAAACCTGTTTCCATTCTGCACAAAATAGGGAATACCACAAGAACTCAGTCCCTTCTTTAGTTCAGGCCTGGGGCTCCTGTAGCCCATGAGATGTTGATCTACAACGGTCAGTAACCGTGGTCATGCTGGCTGGGGCTGATGGGAGCTGGGATCCATGCCATTGTCCTTAACAGCTGCTATCATTAGCAGGTCTTCTCAGTAGCTGCTAACAGTTTTATTTATTAGATTTATATCCCAACCTTTTCTTTTTTAAAGAACTCACCATTCTCCTCTTCCTCCTCTCAATTTTATCCCCACAACAACAGCCCTGTGAGGTAGGTTGGGCTGAGAGTCTGGGACCGGCCCAAAGTCACCCAGTTGGCTCCGTGGCTGAGCGGGGACTAGAACCCAGGTCTCCTGAGTCCCAGTCCTGCACTTGTGAGCCCTATACCACACTGGTTCTCAGGTAAGATTTACTTACCTGCTACCTGAAGGTGCAACAGTTGTACCAGGTTCTGGGAACTGTTAAAGCTTTCCACCTCATTCCATCCTGAAGGCAGTTGCATTACAGGATGCAGAATAATAAAGTGAGTCATAAGAAAACCAGGGCAGCTGATCACACATTTGTGTGTGTGTTTCTCTCTCTCTCTCATTTGCATCCCAGCCTTTGCGTTTAGATCCTGAAACATGGGTTAAATAGTTTTGTCTTTTGACTGGTTCAGCTGAAATGTGGAACTTAAGGGATCCGTCTCCTTTCTTTCCCTGTTTATGAGAGCTTTAGAGCACACAATTCTCCTTTTAATTTGCAGCCTTTCTAATGATCAACTAACTGCTAAACATGGGTTGATCTACTGAATAAAGGTGCAATCTTATGCATGTTTAGACAGAAAAGAGGAAAACAACTCCCAGTACGGTCCAGACAGAACAGGATGCTGTTGCAGGCCATCTTCCCCCTTAGACAGCTTAAAAGTTGGCAATCATATTTTTAACAGCCCTAGTTCAGGTGTGTGATGTGTGTCCATAAACCCATGTGGCGAAGGGTGTTCTCTGTTTGTCTAGGTAGGGAGTGTCTTCATATCCAACAGGTGGGATTTGTAAATACTTAGAGAGGCACCTTCAGTGTGCCACAGGAGCATTTCCGAAAACGTGGGCTCCTCTTCTATCTGGTTGTTTTTGTTCCTGCTGTGTTTGTGTGCACTCCGGGTACCAGGCTTCTCCACCTTCATACCGCCCATGGCTCTGGCCATCCCCTCTCTCGGAATTTTCTGCATGATCAGAAGCAGAACCACAACCTGAACGCTTTTATTATGGGGGTGAGACTTCGGTCATTGCTCTGGTTCCTTCTCTGAGGATAAGGGGTGTTTGGGTGTGTTTAAATGTTCTGGTTTTGTGTAAACAGGACGTGGGCTTCAGGAGAACCCTCGCTTTGGGGCTTTTTCCTTTTGCCTTAAGAGCATTGCTCAGTCAGACCGAAGGCCCTGTCTGGTGTTGGTGAGGAGCTAGTGTGCACCCTCCCAGTGTGAAAAGGCCCTTCCTTTAATCTGTCTTGATTTCGCACCACTCTGTTTCATGGGATGGCCCTTTGGGTTTCTAGGATAATGGAACAGGGAGGAAAATGTCTCCTTCACCACCATGCGTAATTCTTAACATGCATGCAAAGATTCAGGAGTTAAGCAGATGCTCTCAAGCAAACGTGGGACTGAGGATAGTCATACCACTATCTGGGAGAGAGGAGTGAGCAAACTGTTGTCATGTGCCATCAGGTCTTCTCTGACTCATGGTGACCCTATGCATGAAGGCCCTCCATAGTGTCCTGCCCATGACTTCCCTGTTTAAGCTGTTCTAAATTCAAGGCTGTGTCTTCCGTTCTGGAGTCCCTCCATCTCTTATTCGGCCTTTTCTTCCTCTGCCTTTCCCTAGTATGATTGGCTTCTCCAGGGGTTCTTGCAATCCTCTGTTTTGTGGTGCTCATCTCTGGAAGATCACTATAGAGATGGACAAGACAATCCTCAACAATGGATGTGTTTGGAGTTTGCACACACTAGAATTTGAAAGGAAGGTGGGGAACTTCCTCATGAGGTTCATCTTGCTCTGTTTTGTCCACTCTGCCAACTGCCAGCAGGGATGAAGATAGGCAGCATCTTTTTCTTGCTCCTGGGGGAGACGCCAAGGACTGAACCTGCAACCTTTAGCTCACGAAACCTGCTCGCTGCCACTGAGCCACAGGCCCCCGTTACCATGAAGCCTTCTGTGCGCTGCACCCGCTTTTCTGGTTTCGTGCAGAATTGAAGGTATGAGTGTCACACAAGGAATATTTCCTGTCCCGCTTTGCTGCTATGTCATCTCTAGGTGGCCAAGAAGACATCACATTTCCTTTCACCATCAGAATTAAAATAATACCCCACTAAGAAAAATCTAGTGAAAAGGGATGTTTACAATCTGAAGCAAAACTGAAATCATGCCAGCGTCTAAAGCATCCATAAACAACACTGATAAGAGAATGGAAGTGCACAACAAAAGCTTCCCATGGAAAATCTCTCAGTGATTCTTAGTATTTAATCTTCTTTAGCTTCTTCAGTTCTCTGCATGGAGGTCAGGCACAGCTGGTTTCCAGTCAACATCCATATAAACAATAATGCATGGATACGGATGCATGGCCTCCATTTCACAGAATGTGACTTTGAACAGTGTGTGTGGCATATTATCGATCTATTTCTACCTTTCTGGTGTAACACTTTTTTTGTTTTAAGTCGTGACAAAATCCAGACTGAGTGTGACTAAGCTGGGTCCTTCTGGGTGGCCTATTTTCAGCACTTGGCTTTTGTCTCCTGTGCAGGTGCTGATGAAGATACTCAGCACTGCTTGAATGCAGCAGCCCAGATGCACTTGTGGACTGCCGTTCCCATCCATTGCAGGCAGCATGGCCAATAGCAAGGGATTATGGGAGCTCCAGTCCTAATCGCCTGGAAGCGACCCAAATTGCCTACTGCTGTTTTAATAAGTTTGAGATTTAGCAGACATATGATCATTGCAACTGGATGCAGTGTGATAAAGTGCAGCTCTATCTGGCTGCAAACTCATATTCGGGAGTGGCCTTGATAGACCCAGTGGGGCCTTACTTCAGAGCAGACTTATCTGGGGCTGCACCATAAGCAGCCTAGGAGGCATGCTTGCGTTTCACAAAAAGGAAAATGCTTTTAT